CCAGTCATGAATCGGAGCGCCCTCCTCCCCCGAGCTTTGCGAGCAAAAACCCACATGCAAATTTGACGTTGTCCCAAAAAGAAATGCGGGGCAGCTAGATAATAAAAAAAGAGTTGACATATGTATATGTGTTGATTATAGTACCGGGGGGGCGGGGGAGGAGGGGCTGACAGCAAGCCCCGTCCTTCTGGCCCTCCGTTGTTTCCGTAGGCCAACGAGAAAAAAAACGGGGTGGAAAGAGAACGGTGGTAGTGGGGTGGGATAAACGTTAGGGGCATGGGAATGGGTAAGGAAAGGTCGAGCGATATGGTGTTGTTACTTTTTTGGGAGGGAGCTACTAGGGGAAATGAGAGAGATAAGGTAGAGGCAATGGGTCGATTTGGTTGAGGGGAGCTAGTGGGGTAAGGGAAGTGGTATGACGACGGAGTGGAACTTGGATAGTAGAGTGACTGTCGTAGTGGTCAATCTGTGGGTTTTGGAGGCTGTTGTTGCTGGGTGTAACAGCGCATTCTGTGGTCTAGGTCTCTTCCTTTTTTTCTTTTTTTTCTTTCGTCTAGAAGTAGTTCATATGCTGTGGACCAGAATGTCGCTCAACGGCGTAGTGGTACCCGAGTTTCGGATTCGTATCCTTAGGCTTGGGGTTGGGGTTGGGTTGGGGTTGCCTAGGGACGGACGACCCGCGCGGGTTTGGCAGGTTGGTTCGTTTACGGACCAGGTCCTCAACAAATCGAGCGAGGTTGAGCGATCGTTCCCAGAATGCCAGAACCTCGTTTGTTCGTTGGCGCTTCGCTTACGTAGCCTTGTTGTCTTGGCTAAGTATGTACACTGAGTAGGATCAATAACCCACTTTTACATGACCGCATGAAAACAGACTATTTTTCCTTGGACCGCATAGAGCAAGAGAGAAGGCAAAGTGGCGTGGACATGGGTAGGTGCGACCGTAGCGCCAGATCCTTCCCGACATACCGCCCTGCATGCGAGGAAAAGCCGATTGTCGAGGCATCTCGGTGATGGAAGGGCTGGCTTGCCGCGGCTCGTTGGGTTGACTTGCTCGGCAGCAGCTGAATGTGGATATCCCGACTTTTTGTCTTTCTCGTTGGTAGCCAAAAGTCATGTGATAGAGGTAGTGCATAGGAACACAGCACAGCACAGCACAAAAGATAGGGAACAGAGATAGAGAAAGGGCCGAAGATAATTGGCCCGTTTGGCCTCTGATCCCAGATCCAAGTCGCAGTAGTTGAAAGATGCATGGGGCTGGAAGAGGTAGGTGCCTATTATTTGCACATCTCTTCGCGAAGGGCAATAGGCCTCGATTCGGCATTCCCCCCTCTGACCCATGAGCCGAGATGTTGCTGTTTCCCAAGAAAAAAAATAGACGTGTATGTAGAATAGGAGTGACTCCACTTTCACATGCAATCATGTTGCCTGTTGCTCATTTCAAGGACTGGCATAGGCCCTTAAATCCCAGACGCAGGAAGCAAGGCAGCTCCGCAGTGTTCTCCACCGAATTGCAATGGCAGATGCACAGCGCCGTGCTGGCACTAAGTGCTGTACGGCCAGAGTACCCGTGGTGGCAACGTATGACGGAGCAGGCGCCCGGATGCGAACAATGGCAAGAGAAAAAACTGCGTGATAAGCCAAAGATGGTTTAAGCATGTGAGGGGCGAGTTACAAAGCAAGAGAAGATGGAGGAAGGCCAGGAAATCCAGCTTCTACTAAATTAGAACAGCATGGAGTTGCTATACCTAGTGTAAATCTCACGAGCAAGCCAAGGGCAGACAAGTACGCGCGGGACCAGGGATTTATGGGCCGACTTTTATCTGACGTCGCGCGCGGGTGGTCCGACTGGGATTGGCCAGCGCGTTTTCGTTCGCCCTGTCTTTCACATGTCAAATGGCGAGCAAGACAGACAGACAGACAAAGACAGAGCTCAAGGAACCCAGCCCCAAACACAACTTGCAGTGCTGCGACACGCAGCTCCTGGAAAAATGTTCAGTTTGTGCAATATCGCTTCGAATGTGCAATTGGGCCCAGGATAAAAAGGGTATGTGTAAGACCAACGGTGCAATCAACAGGCTGCATCGGGGTCTTCTTAGCTTTGGGCCCTGTGTAACAAATGGCTTGCATTCGTCACTCTAACCCTTACGCACCGGCACTTCTCTATCTTACCTTACTCCTCTTTTCTCAACATTGCGCATGCGGATCCCGCGCTCACGCAAGGAAGTGGCAGCGAGCATGAAGCAAGGCAGGAAAAAACCGGGGCCGCGAAAACACGGGCGTAGGGGGATGCACTGGCCGTTGTTTGGGTATGCGCGTGGGCATCGAGTTACAGTAGCGGATACGAAGGGGGTCGTTGATAAACAAGTGATTAGACGGATGGGTGGCCTGCTATCGATAAGGGCACTTTCACATGCAACTGCACACCCGTACTTGTGCTCCCACCACATCCGCACACAAGCCACGCCGTTTTTAGCAAGGTCCCGCCAACCAAAGCTCAGTCACATCATAGTAGCGGCTGGGCCATTATAATAAGGCGAAGAGAAACCCCTTTGCAGGCTTTGCTTCGCTTTATTTGTTCCTCTCTCCCTCTCTTTCCATTCCGCTCCCCCCTCATTGCGGCTCAACAACAACATAGCAAGCCCCCACCCTCCCACCTCGTCCTATACCGAAACCACTCCTCTCTCTCCTTCAGCCAATGGCACCACACGCAACTGACGACGGCAACATGGCAACCAATGGCGCACCTCTCACCAACGGCGACGTGCCCACCTCCAAAGTCCTCTCGGTACGTCATACTATTCCACCCCCCTGGTTGCGCCACCACCCACACTAACACACCTTCAGCACCTGAACTCGTACCCCGTCGTGCACGACAGCGTCGAAACATTCAAGACACATCCCTACGGCGAGCGCGCCCTCGCCCTCGCCAGCAACACGTACAACAACGTTGTCGCACCCCTGCACCCCTACCTGCGCACCCCTTACTCGTACATCTCGCCCTACCTCGCCCGCGCCGACCAGCTCGGCGACAGCGGCCTCTCGACCCTCGAGTCGCACCTCCCCATCGTCAAGGAGGACACACAGAAGCTCAAGCAGTATGCTTACTCGCCTGTCAACTATGTCCACGGCACCTGGCAGGACGAGTACAACAAGACACACTATAACAATGGCGTCTTGAAGATGGGTATTGCTGCTGTGAGCTTTGAGCTGAGGATGATTAGCGATGCTTGTGATGTTGTCCTTGCTTACCTTAGCAAGGGCAAGGAGCAGGCTAAGAAGAAGACTGATGAGGTTAAGCAGTAAGCTTTCTTGCCACAGGGCTTGAGGGAAGACCAGTGAACGGGTACTTTTTTTCCTGGCTATCCTCTTCTTTTTTTTCTTCTTCTTCTTTTTTTCTTCCTTCTCGGATTTACACATGTCTTTATGGGCTTGCGCGGTAGCTGGGCCTATTTTATGGGAAAAGCGAAAGCGTTTGGTTTTTTTTTTTATCTCGTTGGCGGAAACACATCTTGTTCGTCTATTTTGCTGCAGCATGTGTCCATTTTAGGGGGGCGGGGGCCACGTAGATTGAGTAATAACTATGATATCCCTTTTTGAGAGACTACAATAAGATGCCGAGGAAATGTCATGGGTGCAATCGGTACTTCTGACATTTACCTTGATGCGATTCAAGCCTTGATCTGTCATCGCGATACGATAGTGTCCGTTTGCATTTAACTTTGGGTGTCAGTCACAATACAGTCCCATTAATTCTGCAGCATCGCAGTATCGCATCATCGTAGAACCGTTCGCTAGGGTAGTTGAGAAACGAAGAGGACATGGGCGTGGCACTACAGCTATCAGCATCACCTAACGCATCACGTCAACACCCAACAACCAAAAAAAAGCAAGGCCAACGTGGAAACTCATGTGTATTTCATGAAGTTCGTGAATTGAGCCGGATGCCGGATTTTTCATGCTTTGATTATCAAGCCGATATACACGCCATGATGCCAGGCCGGATTTTAGGGTCCTGTCATCTTATGATATCCACCGACATGCTCATGCACAATCTTCCGTGCCAAATCATGCCCATCTGCGCCCAGCCGTGACCAAAAAGGGAAAGCTTAGAACTGTAAGGGAGTGAAGAACCATCGGTTCTTTCCGGACTGGTATCGCTCCTCGAATGCCTTCTTGACAGTCTTCTTGGCCTCCTCCCGTTGCGAGACCTCCTTGAATGTGTCGGCAGAGATGACGCCCTTGAGGTTCTCGAGCTCAATGGTGTAGCGGGTGGGCATGATGTGAGTGTCTGCTAGTGTTAGTGCCTGCTCCTCCGACCAGCCTCACATCCACATACAGTTGACCTGCTTGACGAAAGGCTTGACCTTGCTCTTCTTGGCCTGCTTAGTCTTTGACATGCGGCGGGTGACCTTGGATGGGTAGGTCTCGATACCGGCAACGAGGGCGTGGGGGAAGGGGTGCGACTTGGTGCCGTTGTCAAGGGGAGAAATGATCACACACTTCTTTCCGGCATAGCGGCCCCGGGTGATGATCTAGGCGGACTGTGAGTGAGTGCGATTGAGCGGGTTCGAGCGATTCTAACGTACGACAACGCGTCCGACCTTGAGGCTAGAAATGGTATGTTAGCAGCTGTTCTGTCGCATATTGCAGATTTTCCCAGGTGCAGGCATTGGCGCCCCAGCACACCTGCAGACGAGCATCGCGGTGCGCCAATATGCATTCCGGGAGAAATCGTGCGTAGAGTCGGGGAGGCACTCACAACTTCATTGTGGCTGTCCGGGTTAGTGATGGGATACTTGGTCGTGGAGTTCGAGGTTGTCGTCAAAGCCAAAAAGCGCTGTGGGCGGTCTCGCTAGATCTTTTGGCCGGTGCCGCCACGCTAACCCGGCTAGCGGCGCTGCTGGTTGGTTGGCCCCACCCTTGCCTCTAGAAATCTCGCAGACCCGCCAAAAGTTTCGCGACGGCGACTCTGGACGACCTGGACAGCGACGACACGCACCATGAAGATCAAAGCCCTCAGCAGATCCACAGCCTCGACACAGGCGCCGGGATCAAGTGTCTCCAAGGTCACTCGGAATCTCGATCCCAACCAGCACCCGTTCGAACGCGCGCGAGAATATACAAGAGCTCTCAATGCGACAAAGGTCGAGCGCATGTTTGCGCAACCTTTTCTAGGCAGTTTCGAGCCCGGACATGTTGACGGTGTATACTCTTTTGCAAAGGACCCAAACTCTCTCGAGCATTTTGCCAGTGGCAGCGGTGATGGCATTGTTAAAGTTTGGGATTTTACAAGCAGAGAAGAGAAATGGCAGGCACAAGCACACGAGAATCTCGTCAAGGGCATGTGCTGGACGCAGGACAAGAGGCTGATAACCTGCGGTTCTGATCGCCAAATCCAAATGTTCGAACCTTATGCCCAGCCATCTAGGTCGCCGCCCAAAGCAACCTGGCACGGCAATTCAGCCTTCACATCCGTCACACACCATCGTTCGCTGCCCACCTTTGCTGCCGGTTCTAGCGTCATTTCCATCTACGACACATCGAGAACTTCTGGAGCTCCAGTATCAAGCCTCGTATGGCCATCGGTAAGTTCTGTCTTTTGACCAAGTGTATATCGTGTACTAATTACATAAAAGGCAATCGATACCATTACGGATGTCAAGTTCAATCAAGTCGAAACCTCAATCCTAGCATCATGCGCCACAGACAGAGCAATCATTCTATATGATGCACGCACAAACTCGCCTCTCCACCGCACTGTTCTTAACTTTGCCGCAAACTGCATTTCATGGAACCCAATGGAAGCCTACAACTTTGCTGTTGCCTCGGAAGATCACAATGGATACATTTTTGACATGCGCAACATGAAGCGGGCTTTGCAAGTTCTGGTAAGCCCTTTGTCCAAACCGACCTTCACTAGAAAGCATTTACTGACACCAAACAGAAAGGGCATGTCGCAGCAGTCATGTCGATCGAGTTCTCCCCCACTGGCGAGGAACTCATCACTGGCAGTTACGATAAGACTATCCGATTGTGGGAGCGCCAAAAAGGCCATTCTCGCGATACTTACCATACAAAGCGGATGCAGCGCGTCTTCTCCGTGGCCTGGAGTCCCGACAACAACTACGTTCTCAGCGGATCTGATGACGGCAATGTTCGCTTGTGGCGCGCAAGGGCGTCCGAACGACGCGGCGTCAAGTCATTTGCCTTGCGACAGAAACTTCAATATGAAGAAGCACTCATGGAGCGATACAAGCACATGCCAGAGATCAAGCGCATTCACAAGCATAGGCATCTTCCTAAGACGGTCAAGAAGGCTGGTGAGATCAAGAATGAGGAACTCAAGTCTCTTAAGAGGAAGGAGGAAAATGAAAGGAGACATACAAAGAAGGGTGAGGTCAGACGAAGAGCTGAGCGTGAAAAGATGATCCTAGCGCGAGAGCAATAAGATATCGAGAAGGCAATGGTATTATACTTTCTGCATAGCGTTGGCGTTTTGGTATTTTACACGAGACTCGGGGGGGCTACAGGATACCACACTGAGTGAATATGATGTCTGGAAATAGATAAGAGTATATTGAAAACTATGGTGGAATTTTCAACTAAATATTCAGACGTCTTTACCTAACGTGGATTTTAGTACGAGGTCGCGTCAACATACTACCCTGAGTACCCCGCTAAGGCACACCTGTGCGCCAATGCGGCGATTGCAAACTTCTTGACAAAACCACGTTATTATGCCACTACTGCTCTTAAAAATCATCAATTCATACAGAATTATCTGACAACCAACTTCACTATCCCTAACCTCTCAAAATGGGGCGTGAACATTTGAAAACTCCATCTTGGTGGTTCTTCGACTTGGACGACACTCTCCATGAATTCCGCAAAGCATCTTCCTCTGCCGTTGACGCAACACTGCAACTCATCATCCAATAACAGCAAAGCACCAAGCCTCAAGCCTCCTACACCACAAGAAGACTCTGTCACATTCGCCGATCTGAAAGCAGCATACTCCAAAGTCCTCAAAGAAACCACATCCTCCGCATTCACAGGCGGCAAAACAAGCCACGATTACCGCGCCGAACGCTTTCAAAATACACTGAAAGCTCTCAGTCTCCCCTTTACACCAGACCAAGTAGCACAAATACTCAATGTATACAAAAACGCACTGATGCAACATCTAACGCTAAAACCTAGTGCAACACCCTAACTCAAATCGCTCAAGCAACAGGGTAAACATGTAGCTATCGTGACTGAAGGCCCGCAAGACGCTCAGCAACGCACTGTTGCCGCGTTGGGGCTAGAACCGTATTTCGATCGGTTGATTACTACAAATGCGTTTGGGGTGGCCAAGGTGGATGGGTTGTTTGAAAAGGCGCTGGAGGTGCTGGGGGTTGAGGGAAGGGAGGTGATCATGGTGGGAGATAGTTGGGATAGAGATGTGGTGCCTGCGGGGAAAGCGGGGATAAGGTGTGTGTGGTATGCGGAGGGGTGTGAGGAGGAGGAGGAGAGGTATGTTGAGTTTGGGAGGAAGAGGGTGGAGAGGGTGGTCGTTGTGGATTCGTTAGGGAAGTTACGGGAGATGGTTGAGGAAGCAGAGCTATGTTGAACGCATTCTGGTATTTTTCTGCGTGTAAATTGGAAAATGAAATAGGGTTGTGTGGTTTTAAGAGCATGCCTGAGTATATTGTTACGGTATCAGTAGCGGATTAGTATTGCACAACTGATTAGCAAAGTCTGATGACAATCTCGAATGCACATAGAGCTTGTGAAGTTCCAGCGTGCACGCTACCATACCTCTTCTTAGCCCCCCTTGTAAAAATACATGTTGTGCCATGTGAACACTGTCAGCAAACCGAGTTTGTTAAGTCTCCTCCATCTCTCTCTTTTTCCACTTTTTCCACCTAAATCCTTATGCTGTTAAGACTTGGATACTCTTCTCCATCCTCAGCCTCTTGGATACCCGGTGCATGAGTGGGAGAAGGCGGTCGAGGTGAGGTTGCGAAATGATTAACATGTGACCATAAGATATATCACATAAGACACAGAGTGAGCATATACTACTATCAGCTATACCCCACCCTAAAATCCATCTGATTGTAGTGAGGTAAGGGTATGGTACGCCTGAGACTAGTACTGCAAACATACGTATTGCTGGAGGACCGTGCAGCGAGAACAAGCGAAGTGCAAGACGTGGAAACTAATTCCGGATAGCATTGTAACACAACACACATTCTTATTCGAGGATAGTATAGTAGAGGAACACTAAGCTTTATCGAGTCCTGAGTAATCTAAGACCTGCATACCATCTCGCCACACACCCGGCTTTTGCGCAAAAGCATAGTAGCTTTAGTTACGGCACCCCGCTATGTCGGCGTGCAGTTTGCGTTCCTTCTTCAGCTTCAGGGAACAAGGATGCAGGCCACTGCCTATGAGCTTGTGCACCATCTAGGATTCATGCAGATGAGCCAAGATAATGATAAATAAACGGTACAGTTAAGATTCAGCCCGAAAAGTGGTTAGTCGTCAGCATAGCTTGAGGAATAGTCCTCTTATCTCCTGCACCTGACATACTACTACCCTTTCTTTCTTTCTTGTGTTTCTTAACCCGAATTGCAGATAGCCCTTACCACCCCCCCATGATTCTCTTTCCCATTATCTTCTGGCTATTATGCGCCGTGCATAGGTCATTGGCGAATTCGGATGACCTGAAGCAAGTCGTCTTGGGGTTGAATCCACTACTATCCAAGGATGCTGTTATCACGTTCCCTTGGGATGCGCGTTGGGACGATTTACAAATTCGCGGGTCTTCTCCACGCATTTCCCCAAACTACAATGTAGTCGTCGAAGTAGCGACCGAAGCCGATGTGCAGACGATAGTGTCTCTTGCCGATCGGTTCAATGTCCCGTTCTTGGCTATCTCCGGTGGACATGGGTGGACTACGTCGATGAATGAGCTGCCGTATGGCATTCAAATCAACATGAGAAAGCTCAATACCACGACGCTCAGTCAGGACGGCAAGACGGCAATAGTCGGCGGCGGGACAAAGCAGTATGAGATAACCCGTTCTCTCTTTGCCTTGGGCAAATACGCTGGTAGGTGTGATCCAGTGTTTTAAGGTTTTGGTCAAGTGGCTTGGTGCACTAATCGTAAACTGCTGATAGTCACTGGACTTTCGAATTGCGTTTCAGTAGCAGGTCCATTATTAGGAGGCGGCCACAGCCTACTCCAAGGTCAATATGGCTACTCTGTCGATGGTCTTGTTTCTGCAAGAGTAGTTCTCGCCAATAGTGAAGTTGTCGAAGCCTCTCGAACCAAGAATGCTGACCTATTCTGGGCACTGCAAGGAGCCGGTCACAACTTTGGCATCGTCACCAGCCTTGAAGTAAAGACTTATGATGTCCCATCCGACTGGACGGTTTATACTCTGATATTCTCGTCGGAGAAAGTTGAAACATTATTCAATTTGATCAATGACTTCGAGGATCCAAAAACGGACCGCCCGGCAAAACTGGCATTAACTGGAGTATTCATAAGACTTCCCGCTGTGGACCCCACCAACGTAAGTGGTATTCTAATGCCATGGAAATGACATAGCTAACTGCCCATAAGCCTGTCGTCTTATACACTGTCGCATATGAGGGCTCACAAGCACAGGCTGAGCCCTATGCTGCACGTTTCATAGCTCTTGGTCCCATCTTTACCAAGGTCGATATTGTCAACTATGTCGAACTGTACACAGTGACTGGAAACAATCTCACCGGTCAAGCCTGTACACCGAATGAGAATGTTCTAGGAGCTGGAGTTTCATTGCCTGCTTGGAACATCCAGGGTGTTCGCAAAGCCTTTACGATATTCGGCGAATACACAGCTGATCCCCGTTTCAACACTTCCATCACACTTATGGAGAATTATGGGATGCAAGGTGTACGCGCTATTAACGCCGACTCTACTGCTTTGGCACCTGAGGAGCGCGAACTACCCATCCTTGCGAGTGCAGTGATTTGGTGGTCTGGTGAAGACAAGGAAACAACCAAGGTTGCCGAGAGTTATATACATGCGATGCGCGATGCCCTATACACGGGTGTCGATGAAGACAGTAGCAAGAAACGACATTGCTACGTCAACTATGCAAGTGGAGATGAACCAAAGCCTGAAATATATGGATATAACACTAGACTCGAGAAGTTAGCTAAACTGAAGAGTGAGTGGGACCCAGAGAACAAATTCAAGTACTACAACCCTATATTGTAGATAGTACAATTATTCATCACAGAAGAGCTTTTCATCAATCAAAACACACATGTTACTCAAGTCCAAAACATGATGAATTTGCTGTAAACCCCCAGACTGGCGCCAGCGCCGAGAAAAAAAAAATGTCTCAGGGCTATCCAAGCCACTTCTCCACCGCAGCATTGTCGGGATATGAAATGCTTCCCTCCTCCATACCAGGGGCCCTTGGCTCCGGAGGCCAAATCCTCTCGCACTCCTCCACGTGCCTCGTGATTGCGTCCTCAGTCAGTTCTACTGACCTCTGCATCGCCCCCTCCTCCTCCTCCTCCTCCTCCAAGGCCATTCCACCCCGTGGCTCAAAAGCCTTCGCAGCACGGTGAATCTGCGCCACCGAAGCCCCTTCATCCCACTCCACGTCCACCCTCTCAAACCCCCTCGTCGTCACCACCTCTCTCTTCTCCCCAAACCCCCTCGAAAACCTCTGCTCCCCCAACTTCCAAACCTCCACCTCCCCTCTTCCCTCTCCCCGCTCAATCTCCTCCACAGTATGCTTGCTAGCAGTGACTGTCACCCCCTTCCACAACGCCTCCCTCGTCGTCCTCTCCCCGGCGACACTCTCCCCATTCATAAACAACCCCGCTTCATTACACGCCTGGCCCACGCCAAGCCACTCCTTCTCCTCCAGCATAAACAGCCTCGCCAGCCGCTCTGGCTCCCGACACACAAAATGAAGCGACTGCGCCGCCAGCAGCGCATCTCCCAGCACGCTCCACACATCTGTCCATGTGATGGTTAATGAGGCGGATTTTGATGGGTGAATGATGACTTGGAGTGTCATCTTCTCGCCGTCCAGGAGCAGCGTTTCCCAGTCTTCTGGGCCCCAGATGGGGAAGGGAGAGGGGGAGAGAGAGGAGAGCGCTGTGGCCTGCGCTTCCTTTGATGTGAGGAGGTGAGGGAGGGGAGGAGAGATGGCTGTTACGTCGAATTCTGCTTCATTGAATTCGACGGTGGTGGTGGTGGGGAGGCTTTTCAGCCAGATTTGCTCGCGGAGCTCCTTTGGGAGCTTTGAGAAGAGTGTGAAGGAAGGCATGATGGTGGTTATGATGATGATTCTGACTTTTTTGACCTCTGGTGATGATGTGGGTATGAAAAGAGACTTTGTCAGAATGATGATGTGTGATGAAGATGGTTACCACTGCCTGAGGAACACATAGAGAGATGGGCTTCTATTTAAATGCGTCTAGAGTCGGAGGTCAGAGAACCAGAGTTTGGTTTGAGGGATTATTTTGTCTTCAAGACAGCTGTAATGTTGCTAGGAGTTTGGTTGTAATCTCTCTTCTGTTCTTTGGTCCATCCTGTAAGTAATTCCCTAGGTGTAAGTCTCTGCATTGTATTCGTCTAGCTCTTATATTGTTGACACGTAACTCACTATAGAAGACCAAGTTGTCATCATTTTGCTAGAAAACACCTCTTGAGGGATTTAGAGGTGAAAGCAATCATAAGTAAGTTCACTGGCTAGAAATATCTATTTTCATCCACATTACACTACAGTCACATATCTAAAGTGACTCACACTACTTCAATAATCTAATAATATATTTTATATACCTGCTCTCACTCATTCGCTACATTCCTTTCACTTCGACTACATCGCACGAATGAAGTACAGTAAATGTAAACGCTAATCTACAAGTACTATTATTATATAGTCGTCTGCGTATCACAAAATATGTATTTCAACGAGGAAAGGAGTCATTTAACATATGACTCAATTCATATATGCCTCAAGAGACAGAAAAAGATGGATTTGTATCATGCATCTTGCTATTCGTTCTTACTGCTGATGTGTCACCATCTACCTCATCTCTCCTGTCAGGTTGATTGTCACTTGTCTGTACCAGATACATCGATTCAGTTATCAGTCTCTACCGACACGTGTACCACGTCTCTACAACCCACACGAATAAAAAAAGACGCATTTGCAAAGACACTCTTTGCACAGCAATTGCAACGTTGCATATTGCAAAACGCATGTGAAAGAGAGCTATCAAGAGCAATAATATTATAAGATTACTTGAACAATCTATTCCACTGTAACTCGGCCCACGCGCTCAACCTTCCCCAAATCTCAACATACCCGCGCGCACACGTGATTATCAGTTCGCCCGACGTTCAGTCCACACTCATTCCCGTCTCCCGTCCCCCAGCAACACGACCACAGGCCAACCTAATCACCACCCTCCTCCTTCTCCCTAATAAACAACCTTGTCTAACGTGCCGCTCCGCAAATGAAAGCAAGATCCGCGACAGAAGTTATTAGGACAATCATCCGACAAGGGCCACATGTAGAAAGAAAAAATTGACCGAAGGGAAAGATACGGGGACGAATCCATATGCAGGTTCACTACATCTTCGCTGACCGAAGTAGCACCCTACCCTTGCACATACATACACACACACACACACACACACACACACACACACACACAGCCCCTCTCCTCCTCCAATCCAATCCTGCTCCTCGCTTTTTTTTTTTTTAAAAAAAAAACCTCTCGCCAAACAAGAAGAAAAAAAACCACTAAACTTTCTGTGTATATGTAAGGTATATGTATGTATGGATGTATGTATGTGTGGCGGCCACAAAATGCAGGGTCGCCGAACAGAAGCCCCCCCCCTCCCCCATGAAGGTTTAAACATACATGTAAACTACACATTACAGGGAAAATACCGAAACTTGTCATCTCAGGGAAGCCATGCAGAGCCGGCCCGCGACGCACGTCAATTACTCGGCAGATTTTTAAGTGTAATCAGTAGACCAAAAGTTCAAAAAAAAAGACTTTGTTGACAAGGTAGAGAAAGGCAGTGAAGGGGAGGGGAGGGGGGAAGGGTTGTCGCCCGTTTGCTCCGTTTGGCCCCCCTAATTTGACCTTTTGTTTGTCTACTCTTTCCCGTTCATTCGTTCAATCGCAGTTGTGCGATTTTGCGACGACCAGTGTTTCAGATGCATCATGTGTTCGCAGAACAGATTGCAGCTTTTCTTGGTTGGGGGAGGGGAGCGAAGGGCTACGGACAATCGGAAACGAAACGGCTTGGCGCTCTTTCTCCTCACCCCCCCCCGTACGTTGAGTACATAGTTCGTTTACCCCGATCTTGCTCGTGTCCCAAAGCAACAATGGCGCACGTGAATGCTTCAGGGTTCGACATTCAGACTTTATTGTCTACCTGTCATTAATCTCGATCTTTTTTCCCCTTCTTGCCTCCCCCAGCCGAACATTACTAGTTTGTTGATTCGGAGTGGGGAAAACAATGGGACAGAAACTTTTTTTTTCTCCTTCTTTTGCCTATCGTCTTCTTCCACCGCGGAAAAAGCCGGCTTAATTCGATGACCCATCAATGTCACATAATACGAGTCGCGAGAAATGAAAGAATGGGAGAGTGGCACCGCGTAGTAGAGCCGAGGATGTTTTTTTTTCCCGAGAGCAAGAGCGAAACGACCCCGCAAAAGTCCCCTCCATGCCATGCAAATCCATACGTATTGTACCACATCTCCGAATATTCCATGATGTTGATGTTTTTTTTAATATCCACAACGTCATACTATATCTGGTACCCATCGAGAGAGGCGCAGCGGGTCCGATACACGAGAGTAGCATGTCTAACTTGCTAGTAGTTGTAAGTCGAACCAAGCGCCAGTATCGGTGGTTCACCCTTCTCAATAAGCACCACGTCGGATGCGGGGGTTTGCAAGCGCAAGGACGTAATTAGTGACACTGGGATGTGGGCATCCAGTTCGTTCAAGCTGATGCGATGGTTTGGCTAGGGGGCAACATGGCGTGTGCGTGTACCATGGTTCGCAGGATGCGAACGGCAGCCACTCAAGACGACTACACGGACAGCAACTTCCCATCACTAAAGACGCTAGTTTTACCGTTAACCGCGCACACGTACCAGGCGCGACTGGTCTCGGCCCGCAATGCATGCAGAGATTTTCGTGATAGATCAGCCCATTTTCCCAACCAACCCCCCCAGCCCTCACTAGGATAGCTGGTCGAGCGCTTTGGTGCTCGGTATGTATCTTCGGATAGTTGGAGAAGCCGGGCGATGTTTTGCGTGTGGACCACGGTTGACGCGTGGCTAGTAGTCCCTATGGATGCTGCTTACACGCAGGGTGGGCCTGAGCGTCATGATTTGTTCAATCTGGTGTCTAGTCCGAAAGGATAGCCATTGGGTACAAAACCTACCAGAACCATCTCGGCAGGAGCCTGCTGTTGCTTGCCCTCTGATACGCAGGTAAGACCGACCACGCCTGGGCTATGATCAAAGTAGGCTAAAAAGCTCCCATCAGGAAAAAAAGTGGATGCTCTACGAGGCAGAGTTTCGGGCTAAGCACCTCAAGATGCCATAACATTTATTGCGCTCAGATGGATCGTCCCGAGCGCACGTATGTAAAGCGATGGCCGCGATTTAGCCAGCCGCCCATACCACTTTGTCGGATAAAAACATTGACGTTCCGAGTCAAGCGAATTCCAAAAAGCATGCTTTACGGCACCATGTCATTAAGCTATGGCATGATTACAGTTCGGCGTGCAAAGGGCACTTGGCAGCCAGCGCAGAAAGCGTCCTGGGATGAGTTCATGAGCAAAGGAATTTAATTGCCCGCTGGGGCAGAATTGGCCATGTGATACTGGGCCGTGCCAACATGCTCAGCAATTTTTTTTCATAACCGCGATTCGAATCAAGACATGTACATACATGTCTACGGGCGGATTTGGATGGTTGAGAGGTTGCAAATAGAGACGGCGGCAGGCTAAATGCACTGTCGAACCCAAAAGCAGTCTATGCACGATTGCGCTCAGACGACATGTTCTTAGAACAGCGGTGTCGTCTGATATAGGGCATCTCGAAGAAGCTACATGACGAACATCGAGTATTGCGTCAAGCCGCAATTAGCACAGTGGGAGGAGGCGCAATCGAAGTGACATAGCCCCAGGCTGCAGTACGCCCTGTAGCTGGGGCGGGACGCCAAGGCGATGCATGTAAAGCACGTCGGGCGGATCATGCAAAGGCTTGGTGACAAGCGGCTCTGCTGCTTGTGGTGGTGGTGGTGGTGCTGCTGCTGCTGCGAGATGGCTGCATGCTTTTTTGGCAGCCGTTATAATGCTGCGTGTAGACCGAGGCCGACGTTGCCGGACCAGTTTGTCACGACGCAAGGGAGAGGCGCAGTGGGCTAGTGCCGGAGCCGTGGTCAATGACTATTGAAGGTTTAGGCAGAGCACTCTACACCTAGAGTAGTAGATTCGCGCGAACAATGAATGAGTTGGAAGAAGAAAAAAAAACAAAATCAAAGCCGAGAAGAGCGGTGAAGGGGTTGGCAGTAGGGCGGGAAGCAGCTCGAGCGAACAATGAACCCCTCACTTGGGAATTGTCTATTTGTTGAACTTTGTTGAGGCCGTCGAAGAGCAGGTGGAGTGGACGCGAGCAGTATGCGAGACCGGTGAAGCCGAGAGCCGACCAATCACGCGGTCACATCGCACCCCACGAGCTGCACAGCGCCGTCGTGGCTAGCCTGCTCCGTCCACTTCCCGATAACGGCTCTACTGGGCTTCCTGACGTGGCCGGTGGTGATTGGCAGCCCCGACGCCTATCTGAACAGTCGAGCGAGCATGCGCCGCTGATCCAGCTGCCTCTCAGAGGCATCGTTGCGTGCCAGAGAGAAAAATGCCATTCTTTCCATGTACAGTACGTACATGTCCCATGTCGGATGCTCCACGCCTGCACTCGACTCGTGCGCCGTAGAGCGCGGACGCGAGGGGGTCGGTGCGACTGCATGCGAAGACGCCCGCTCCAGCGACTTCCATCGGGTCCGCTATTGGCATGCTGGTTGGAGGGGGTCGAGGGCGGAGGGGGCGTCGTCTTAGCTGCTACCACGCAGGGTTCCCTTACATCACACGCATATGCAGGCGCGGCTCGCTGCATATGAGCTCTGGCCCGTCAAAGTCCAAGTGGCTGCATCGCGGGATTGCCTCACGCTGCAGGAACGTTGGTGCGGGATAGAGCAGAGACAGAGGTGGTCAGAGATGGCGGCAGCGA